TCTACTTGCAATTTCTTGCTTTCGAACTGCTAGGTTGGCAGGAGCTGGAACGAGAGACAGGAGCTCACTCCGTCATGCGGCACACTTGGGTCTTGAACTGCTGAACTACTGACCTTCCACAGCCTGCAGTTCAGCATCTTAACCACTTGAGCCTTTAAAAGGGATCTACTAAAAGGAAGGACAGGATTGCCCTTGGAAACAAAGGGAGACGGTGGAAGACCCATTGGAAATAATGGGAGCCAGTATTGACTTGCACGGGCTCCTTTAAAAGCCGCCCTTCCTTTTTTTGGGGGGGGGGAGGTGGACTTAGCCTAAGGCCACCATGGCGCTGTCGCAAAAATTAATAGCAGCAACATAGTTATATATCTCTATTTATGAAATCACTTGTATTAAATGGTTCATTATGTTTAAGAATGTTTGTTCAAACTTGTAGTTGTGTGAAAAGAAAAAAATGACTGTTTTATCTTGAAAATATGACAGCTATGTCACAAAAGCATTGTAACCTACACGGTTACCTAGACAAGTTTACCTAGACATTCTTTATGAAAATTTACCCTGTACCTTATGAAAACTCAATAAAACTTCTTATTTTATTTTTTTTAAAAATAACAGCAACACAAGGGGCGGTCGATCAAGGCGGGCAGCCGGGTGGGTCTGACGCAATACAACCAAGTTGGAGCCCAGTGGCACCTTTAAGCTTTTCGTGTGCACGCAGGCTTCGTCGGACGATGACAGTAGTTAGCCCTAGAACAAAGTTTGAGTCCGGCAAAGTTTCATTCTGGGTATCCGCTTTCTGGTGCATGTACGCGCACACTTCTGGGTATCAGCTTTCTGGTGCATGCACGCACACTTCTGGTGCATGCACGCACACAAGGTTGGTGCTTGGTTGGGAGACCACCTGCAAAGTCCCTGGTTGCAACGCAGAGGTGGGCAATAGCAGCCCTTGGAACTCTTGCCTTGAAAACCCCGCTGGGGTTGCCCTGAAGTCAGCTGTGACATGGCGGCAAAATAAGAATAATAACGTTCAGAATGCTTCGCTCCTTTTTTCTCCTTCCTCTGTGTAGTTGTGTTGGAGTGGCTGTCTGCACATGACCAAAAATAGGACAGGAGTTGCATATGATAATTTATTTTCATCAATGCAAACTTGCACATAATTTATTTTCATCTGTGCAAACTTGCACATAATTTACACGTCATATAAATGCAACTCACCATAGTGGCAGCTTTTTCTGGTATCCAGGTCTTAACTGTTGATGGGGACCTTTCCAGGGCCCCTGCTCTTCCTTCTTTTTATTTTTAATTTACTTCAAACTGCCTGCTTCACTTTAGCAGATATCTGTGGATCTGTTCCTGCTCAGGAATCTAGCCTTCACAGCCACGGCAGCAAATTTCGCGGGACAGAAGCAGAACCGAAACAGTTCAGGTGCAGCCAGGCCTCAGAAAAGAGAAACTGTCTTCCTAGAAAGAGGATGTCTAGTGGATTTGAATCATAGACTATATTACTTTGTGTTTTCTTTGCTGTTATCTTGGCATTGCATCTGAAGAAGTGGGGTCTAGTCTGTGAAAGCTTTTCTATTTATTTACTTTTTTCTATAGCCCACCTTCCTCAGTGAGACTCCAGGCATGTGTAGAATGCAGTGTAAAACAATGCAACCAACATAGTGTGAGTGTCCAGTAAACAATGCAATGCAAAAAGACAAACGATGCAAAACAAATTGAGTTACAAACATGTGCCCAGTAAACACATAATGTGTCCGGTAAACAATGCAATGCAAAAATGTCAAACAATATAAACCAAATTGAGTTACAAAAGTATGAAATGATACGGTAAGAGCAAGATAGTATGTCCAGTACGCAGTGGTGTACATCATAGTCCCATTCCTTATATAAAAGCTCCTTCCTGAACCATTCTGTTATAATATAGCCCTAAGCCCTTTAGGAGAATGCCGTCTTGAACCGTTCTGTTTTATATAGTTTGTGCAGTGACAGAAGTGTGGAACCCTTTCTGGCTTCCTCAAGCAGGCCGTTCCACAAGAAGGGGGCCGGAGCAGCAATGGATCTTGCCCATTTGTGGGGTGGCACCTTCAGAAGGCTTTGCTCAGATGAGTGTCAGAGCACAGCAGGAGAGGTGGGCCTGCCGAAATGAGGGAATAATATTTTGCAGGTGTAATAGTTTTGTTAGCCTTTAATGTGCCACAAAACTCCTGTTTATCTTGTTATAATCCCTGGAACCCAATGTGTCAGTATCAGGGCTTTTTTTGTAGAAAAACCCCGGAGTCCCCCGCTACGGCTCAAGGTAGGACTTGACAACCCTAGGGCCGAAGCAGCAATGGATCTTACCCATCTGTGGGGTGGCACCTTCAGAAGGCTTTGCTCAGATGAGTGGCAGAGCGTAGCAGGAGAGGTGGGCCTGCCGAAATGAGGGAATAATATTTTGCAGGTGTAATGGTTTTGTTAGCCTTTAATGTGCCACAAAACTCCTGTTTATCTTGTTATAATCCCTGGAACCGTCAGTATTATCTCCTGCTGAGAAAGAGAAAATGGAAGTTTGTCTAAGGCCACTTAGTGAGTCCATGGTAGAAGCAAGACTGGGACTTACAGCTTCATTCCTTGGGACATGATCTTAAACATTTCTATTCAGAAGTAAGGTCCATTGAGTTAGATAGGATTTAGCCCGGGTATGTGTATAATATCTTATAGTACAATCCAAAGCAGTTGAGTTCAGTG